GAAGAAATACATTTGGTTTACTTTAAAATTAGATTAGTATTCTGACTCCTACTACGGAGCAGAGAGACTATTCCCAGTGAAAATAACAAAGATGTTTGAGGTAGAAAATAGCTGATTTCCTCAAGGGTGGAAGGTGGGGCTTGAAAAGGTAAAGACTCAGGACCCTTGACAGAGGTGACTTTGACTGGAGCACAACACTCTAAATAAACAGATAAACAGATAAAATCACAGCAATTTCAAAAGGATATATGGATGTTCTTTTAGAAAAGGGTAAAGACAAAGGGCATTTTTTTCTAATTGGTCTTGCATAGTTTTTGGTCACCAGTACAAAATTTAAAAGTACTCTGAACAATTTTGAAAATCAATAACTTCAGGAACTACCAAAAGACCAAATATATTATATGATAGGTAATGAGAGGACATTGAACGGCTGTCTAAGCCATTATTAAGGGCCCCTGATCCAAGCAGTGATGTTGAAAGGAAGGAATGTGTAATAGAGAGTTTTACATCCAACTAATCTAAGAAAAATGCTTAAAAAAAACCACACCTAGGGAACTGAAGAGAAAATGGAAGGGAAGGGAAGCTAGTTAAGAGGGTATAGAATTGCACTTGGCTCAAGAGCCAAAAAGCCCTTAGCACAATTCTTTGGCTCTTCGTATCACCACTGAATGTCTAATAAGTGTAGCTCTGTGATAGAATGAAGCAAGGCATGAAATTATAATTTTTGTTAGGCCAACAAAGGATTTAAAGCTTTGAAGCTCTTTGTTTCCTTCAAATGGAATAATTTAATGGAATGAGTTCACTCGGAATGATTTCATTAAAAAAAGTGTTGGCTGTTTTTTTTCTTTAATTATAATATTATTTTTGCTTCTTGGGAAATTTCCTACAATTTTTGTGCTATGTGTTAAAAAGAATTTTATGCAATTGAAATCCATTCCAGCTCAGCAAAGGCACAGGAGAAGCCCCTCCATTGCTAAAACTCAGGCAAAGTTGCTCCTGCATTCAGTAGTATTGAGGAGATGCAGGGTTTTGAATGACCACTAGATCCATCTTCCCCTTTTCAACATGGCTCTAGCAGTCTCTCAAAACCTCACAGGTCTGCTGAACATAGCGACAGCCCCACCATGATGCCAAGTTATGATAAGAGGATGGCTTGTTTCCTTAGACTCTTGGCCCCGGGAAGATACTTATTTGGAGATAAGATAAGGAGAACCTACAGAAGGCAGGTAAGTGAGAATCCTTCTGTCCTCTTTTCCCTTGAAACCCAGTACAATGCTGGTTGTAGATGAAGGGAGCTGAATTCCAGCACATCTAAATGTTTCATTTTAATTGTTAATAAGGAGATTTAGCTTCTCTATGTGTACCTGAACACCTCAGTTGTAATACTATTGAATGGCATTTCAGTTGCAGGTTGCATATATTTAAAAAGACAATACTTCATCCTGCCAATCCATTCATGTCCTTGCCCTCTTATCTAATCTATCAGAATCTTCCAGCAAACATTCAGGTCAGATCAGCCTGGATGTTGCTTTCAATTGAGGAGTTTAAGAGATTATTTGTGGTAACCTTTTAAATGTCAGCCTGTGTCCTTTATGGCAAGCATCACAAGAAGTTGAATGGATTATTTATCAAGAATATTCGAAAGGGATCAGGCTGGAGAAAGGTAATGATAAACCGTAACAAAGACATCAGGTACTGGAGAGCAAATTCTGCCCTGTCTTTGCCTCCTTTTTATGATTGGTGGGTTGCTGAGTTTGAGAAGTGGAGATGGCAGCATGGCTACATGATTAAACTGATCACTTTGCTTCATATACCCTTCAGATATTTAATTGGATCACCCCAATTCTGCAACAAACCAAACAAAGGCAATAAATAGCAATACAATGTTGTATTTAGTATGTTTAGGTCTGTGTCATGTATGTGTTTCACTTTGAGAGCGGGCAACAAAATTTCATTTTTGATGTGTGCAATTGTGCCCACAGTAAAAAAATGACAATAAAAGTTATCTTATCTTATCTTATCTTATCTTATCTTATCTTATCTTACCTTACCTTACCTTACTTTACCTTACCTTACCTTACCTTACCTTACCTTATCTTATCTTATCTTATCTTTACAACTTAGACTTATATACTGCTCCACAGTGCTTTACAGCCCTCTCTAAGTGGTTTACAATGTCAGTGTATTGCCCCCAACAATCTTATTTTACCGACCTTGGAAGGATGGAAGGCTGAGTCAACCTTGAGCCCACCAGGATCATACTCTGACTGTGGGCAAAGTTAGCCTGCAATACCGCACTTTAACCCTTGTGCCACTTGGGTTTGTTTATTTTAATTTATTAAATTTTCTCCCAGAGTAGAGATCCAAACTTTAGGATTTGGGAAAGGGTATTTCCTCTGTAATATTTGCTACTCAGATGGATCACCTCACTTCTTTGTCAGAAAGCTTCCAGTTTATTTATGCAGCAGGCAAGAACAGGTAGATTTTTGCATGATTTTTTTTCCTAATTGGTGCATAAGCTAATTAATTTCTTTTATGTGTTTTTCTCCTTAGATTTTCACTATTACCACATCTACCAAAATCACAACCAACATTTTCCCTTCAAGCAAATTTATGTAAAGATACTTTCAAGTCAGACTCAATAGATTTCTGTTACATTCTTCTTGGTGGGATCTAAACTAGGCTTCCCAGTCTTGGGATCTCCAGGTGGTCTCTACGCAAGTGTTAATTATAGTTGGCCCTGTTTTCATTCAGAAACCAACCAATCTAGGCTAACTACTGTCAACAATAGATATTCTTGCTTTAGGAGTTATTGCTTTTGATCAGTTTAAGCCTTCTTCTTCTCTTCTCCTTCTCCCTTATGCTAGGCTAATTTTGGTTTTGCTCCTAACTGTTCTCTTTTCTATAATTCCCTGATTTATAAACAAATATCATTTGGAATTAATTCCTACAACTTAAGGGTAAGTTGAAAACAAAACAACAACACACAAAAAAAATTTTTTTCCAAAATTGTAGTTATAGTCTTCAAAGTATCAGATTTTTCCTTTTTCTTTTTTGCTGGGCATCACAATATCCTGCAAGTTTATGTGCAGTTGACATACATGTGATAAGTATGCATGAATGTAAATTAGCATTTTTTGCAACTTGCCATTGGGAGGAGGTGGATACCTCATAAACGCTAAGAAAATAACGAGTTTCCTCTGATACAGTGCTGTGCAAATTCATGTGTGTGGAGGTGAAGCTTTGCAATGTGTGGGAATGTATACAAGGGCCCCGTTTAAATGAAAGCAGCTGTATCTTTGTATAGCTTCACATGGCTGATCTGGATTCTCCTCTTTTCTCCTCATGTGTGTACATTCACAGCCACGTTAGTTTTCTTTTGAACTTGACAATGAAAGAGGTAATCAAGGTTTTAATAGGGAGTAGCCCCTTTTTATTTTAAATATCTTTATTAAATTTCAAAAACAAACATTTAAATACAAACTCACATAAAAGGGAAAAGAGGAAAGGAAGTAGCTTCTTTTTCAAAGAATTTGTGCAGCCCTATTATATTATGCTTGTTTAAGCCATGTACTGTAAATAGAGAATCTCCAGTTCTCTATTTACTTGTAATGGGATAATCGTTTCCCCCAAATTTTATAATATTGAAAATCAGCAAATCCATAACCTGAGAAATCTCAAGGTTTTCCTAGTGCATGGAAAAAAATCTAGAGAACCACTTTCTGTGTTATATTGGAGATGACTGATTTTCCTAATGAGGGAGTATCTGTATTTTGGGTGAAGTTGAAAAAAATAATGGCCAGGGTGTGCATTAATATGCAGAACCTGGCAAGGTGAGGGTATTGGAACCAAACATCCATTTTTTAAAAAAAAATGATACAGAGCACACCTTCAGTTAAGTAGGAAAAGCACTGCAGAAATGTCACAATTCCAAAAGCCACAATTTACTGGCAGCATTGCTGCAGGTTTCTTAGAAAATTGATTTTTTTAAAAAAATTATAGGATAAGAACATAAATACTGATGTGTTTATGGCTGTGTTTCTTAAAGACGGTCCCAGGACCTCTGGTGGTCGCCCAACACCATCCTCAAGGATCCTCGAAATCAAAATTATTTGAAGAGCTATTGAAGAGAATTGCAAACATTTAAAACAATGGCACACTTGTCGATTTTTTAAATTTGTTAAAAATATAGGACTTTTCATGATCGATATTTTATTTATGTTAATATCTAATGGGCTTAATATTATTTTTATGTGATTTAATAAATAAATATTTCATCAATGCATCAATTTCAATTTTTAATATGTGGAAAATATAAATACAATCAATACAAACAAAAAGTTCTTTTGGAGGTCATCCATAACTTTAAGAGTGGTAAGTTGTCCTAAGAGCAAAAAGTTTAAGAAACATTATTTATGGATTGATGACAATATTACAGGTTGCTTTGTAAAATGTTTGTACACAGAAAATTTTGGATCCCACGAACCTTTTCCTCACAGAAACAAACTAGGTTTACCTCATGGATTTTTACCCAAACACTTGTTACTGAAACTTTCTGTCCAGCAAAGAAGCATGGCTTTTAAAGAACAACTTGCTTTAATTCTTGTTTATATTAACCAACAAATACTAAGCAGTAGCTGTTATAGCTGCAAAGAAACTATATTATAGTCTCCTTGATTTGTTTTCATTGAACAATCTTTATTTCTTGTGTTATGTCTTATGTGTAGGTAGTCCTCAACTTACAATAGTTCATTTAGTGACAGTTCGAAGTTACAATGGCACTGAAAAAAGTGACTTATGACCATTTTTTACACTTCTGACCACTGCACTATCCCCATGGTCATATGATCAAAATTCAGATGCTTGGCAAATGACTCATATTTTTGAAAGTTGCAGTACCGGGGTCATGTGATCATCCTTTGCGACCTTCTGACAAGCAAAGTGAATGGGGAAGCCAGATTCACTTAGTAACTATGTTAGTAAGTTAACAATTGCAGTGATTCACTTAACAACCTCCACAAAAAAGGTCGTAAAATGGGGCAAAATTCACTTAACAACTGTGTTGCTTAGCAACTGAAATTTTGGGCTCAGTTGTGGTTGTGGTTGTAAGCTGAGGACTAAATACCTGTATTTATAATATTGCCACATAATAGTTGATATTAGAGCTCTGCACGCTTCAGAAAAACTCTTTGGAAGAAATATTTTGGACCGTTTTACTATTCATTAAAATAACGCCTGAGAGGGGAAGTGAAACTTCTATGTGGAAAAAAATCCACTAAGGTGGGACTGCTTTAAGAGTTATATGAACATTAATGAGTCAGCTCCATAAAGCAGTCACAACACTTTTTCCTTGGGTCCAAATTATGTATTTGGAATTATTTTTGAAGCATAGAGTGCCCTACTTGATATGATCAGTGAAGAATGTGCTAGGGGTAAAAGGCAAACAAATCTGAATGTGTAAGTGTGCATGAAGTGGTTTTATCCACAAGACTCACAGCTGTCAGTCCTGAGAAATCTGCTGGACAACACGTGTCCGTGATTCTAGTGCCTATATCTAAATTTAGCTGGTATGAATTCTGTAGAAAGTCAAGCATTTCCCTCAAATTCAGTTTCCACAAAGGTGCCACCTGTCTACCAGCTTAACCATAAAACAAATTAACACATTTTTTATTTCTACCCTTATCTCCGAAATAACTTCGCTTGAGTGAATACAGTTTACAATATGAAGAATAAAATTTCAGGAAGCAAAACTTAGAATGATATATCACGGAGTATATGGAATACATAACTTTTTTCCTGATCTGCTATGATGACAAATATCATCAAAACTCTAAACCCAGCATGTACCTCTTTTAGAATCCCTCCCTTTCAAATGTAATGCTTTTTTGTTTCTTCTTCTGACTTTGATGAGAGTTGATTTTAGAAGTGTGCTTCTTTCATCATGGGCTATTACTTCCCCCTGGAATGTGTGGGAGCATAAATGTCTCTGTATAGTGCTGGCTGGTTGTTGACAAAGATCTCCCAGAAATCCTTTGAAATCGGTTCCTTCTCTGAAAGTAGTTGCGGCTGCTGTGAAAAGAACGCTGCCTGTTCCTCAAATACTCTTTATAGTTCTTGGTCAGCAAGGTGTAGAGGAAAGGGTTGATGCAACTGTTGCTGTAGGTCAGGCAGGTGGTCAGGTAGTTGACGTTCCTAGTGGCCTTAGGAGACATGGGAAGAGGCTCGTAGTACTGGAAGAGCAGCTGCCAGATCCAGAAAGGCAAGAAGCAGGCCCAGAAGACCAGCACAATAGTGAAGATTAAGTAGAGGACTTTTTGGTTGGGCAGTCGCTTGGTTTCCTTCAAGGAAGTGGTCTGGGACACCCAGTAGGTTCTTGCCAGTCTAACGTAGAGATACCCAATAACGACACCAGGGCCAACAATGCTGGTGCAGAAGAGGACAGTGATGTAGATCTTGTAGGACAATTTGCTCCAGGTGGGTAGGCAGATATTCTTTTCCCCTTGCACCAGCTGGATCATGATCAGCATTGGCAGGGTGAGAAGCAGAGATGCTACCCAGATAATGAGGGCAATTGCTTTCCGATAACTCTTTGATCTCTTCACAGTGTCCAAAGGCTTCAGCACTGCAAAGTATCTCTCTGTGCTCATCACCATCAAAGTGAAAATGCTAGCATGCATGGTGAGGAAATCCAAGCTGAAAAGGATCCGGCAACCTGTATCTCCAAAGTACCATTCCTGGATGAAATAAGTCCCCACAATGAAAGGAATGGTGAGAAGATAGAGCAGGTCTGCTAGGGCCAAGTTGATGATGTAGATGTACATGGAGGCAGAGGACCTCATGTAGTGGCACATCACAACCAAGGTGTAGACATTGCCAGTCACTCCAATTATGCACATAAGAGACAGGATGGTCCCAATGGTGCAGGTAGCTATGATGTCCTCCAAAGAGTTGGCAGAGAAAGCCTCACCCCATGTGTTGTTGGAAGAAATATTAGGGTTGCTTCTGAACAGGCTGCCAGTTTCTGTGTCTATGGCCACTCTAATGGTGGAGGAGATAGTACCATCCATTCTCTTAAAAGTTCTAGCTTTACATGCCTTGAGCAATCAGCAACAGGCAATATTTGACTCTTTGAAGAGAAGATGGAATGGAAGGAAGTACTGCTTAGCTGAGATTAATTTCTGCTGAAATGTCAGAAACATCTGTGATCTTCAGCCTTGTATTTATTTTAGAGAAAGGGCAGAAAGAACACTGTAAGGCAGAATAATATAATGCTGTAGCTTTTTTTGTTTCTTAGGCTTTCCTTGTTTCCCAGGCTTGTTAGTAGTTGACAGGTTTTTGGGGGAGGGGGGATGGCTGTTTGGCTGCTTCATCATTTGTTTCTTTTCAACTCATCGTTAGTCCAGCTCTGGCCATCTGGGCATCTGTAATAGGAAAAAAGTACAGCTTTGCTGTGTTGTTGTACTAAAGTATTTGACCAGGAGAACCACTGCTCCACATCTATGTAGCTGGAATGAACAAGTCCAATAATTTCAGCCACCATTATATTTTAGTAACAGAAAATGGCCTTTTGTAAATATTAACTCAGTTTATTAGTGAATTAACTGTGAATACAATTTCTTTGTGGCTAAGGATATAACCATATATGGTACTATTCCCCCATGTGACCAACTCTTTTATTTCTTTTTAAGCCCCTTTTCAAAACCCATCTTTTCAGGAAACTTTTAAAATAGTTCTATATTCTAGTATGGAGCTAGATCAAGATATACACAACGGAAAGAACTTTCCTCTGCTTATCCATTCCTCAGTTTCTCTCTTCCCGCCCTTTCCTTAGATCTATTTTAGAGAGTAAGCTCTTTGGGGATCTGGGCTTATCATATCTGCTCTTTATAAATTGCTATGTACATTGACAGCACATTATAAATACCAATAATTCATGTCTGGGGCAACTTATTGTTATTTTTAAAGCAATTCAGCATCAGTAGTAACTGTGTTTAAAATCCATATTCCACTCAGCACTGCTGCAGTAGCAACTGGGTACAGTTGCAGTTTTTTCTCTATCAGCCCTTAGAAATTACCTTCCATAAATTTGTTTGGCCTTTCAAACCTACTGACCTAGAGCCTATCAGCAAATTTTATGACAGTAGATTCCCTACAATTATGGTAATCTACCTGGAGTTCATTTGAATAACTGGTTACCTTGAGACCTGAAAGCCTCAGCTCCATGAAATACACTCGGCTGTTGGCTGTTAATTTCTCTCAGCCTAGTCTATCTCACAGCATTCATTTATTGGTTGTATGGCTCTCATGCAAATTTGCAAAGACTTGAGTGAATGCCCAATAAAATCCACCTTGCAAATGTTGAGTTTCACGAACACACACACACACACACACACACACACACACACAAGAGAGAGAGAGAGAGAGAGAGAGAGAGAGAGAGAGAGAGAGAGAGAGAGAGAGAGAGAGAGAGAGAACTGAGATAAATAAACAAACAAACAAAAAAACAAATAATGACTGTGATGGTGATGTGGATAATACTGTAAGATCTATTCCCAAAACAATATTAATTTCAAAGGGTAGATTCTGCTCAGACTAAGTTATGGAGGAAATAATTAATTCCTTTTTCAGGCCCGACAATTCTCAGCCCGCCAGTATGTTCTGCTCCATTTGCTTTTCAAACAACAGCAGCAATTATATCTTCACCCTCCTGCATGTTAAATGTATTTAAGTTTATGACTCTTTTGACCTCAAGCTCCTGTTAAGTATTATAGGACTGGCTTTTTTGCCAAAACATTTCTACGTCTACTATATCACCTTTGGTCAGTTTGGATAAAAGATTAAAAAGACTCAAGTGACAATTCCCCTTCCCCCTCCAACAGAGCAGAGCAACTCGCTGTGCTGAACTGATTTTACAACTGAATCAGTTTGTCAAATCAAATTTTCAGCATGCTGGGGGAGGTCTAGAGAAACACCTCAGCAGTCACTGGATATAACTTAGCTACATTTTGCATTAACTCAAGCACATCACACATTTTTCAAGCTGCTTAGACAGAAATGTATCTTTCATCTCGGTCAGTCAGTCAGTCAGTCAAGTAAACCCATCCACATCTCAAGAGGTTACCCAAAATAAGGGGAGAAAATCAGCAAATAAAGTAAAGATATAAAATCTAGATTCAAACCTGACTTCAGTGAAATCCAGTTGATGAGGTTTCCTCTTGGGCAATAAAATAAAATAAAGGGTGGGGAGAAAAAAAAACACCCAGCAGACTTGGCTGGAATGTGACTAAAGGGTCTTTGCAGAGAAAAAGAATCAGCCTGGGACCCAAAAGCTTAAAGCATTTGGAATGGGTGTGCAGAAAAGAGACGGGGAGAGCCAAGTATGTTTGAAATCTGTGCCCTCCCAATCTCCACATTCACTCGTGCTTGCTATTTATGCTGCTTGATGACGCTCGGCATTGTGGAACTGCCTTTGCACAGCGCTAGGTAGGGTTACTTTGAAGAGAAGCAACATTTCAAAAACCGGAGGCAGCCCTCTGCTGCCGAGTCCTGGCTGGCCCAAGAGAGGGCGAGTCATAGAAATGATCTGGGCTGTTTGTTCCTGTCCAGAAGAAGCTGGGAAGCCATGCTTTGGCTTCTTTCCCTCAATGTTATCTGGGAGTCTCTCTATTCATAGCAGACCCTTTGGGAACAAAAACAGTATCAGCAAAGCATTTTTTTCCCTGGGGGTTGGGGGGGGAGGTAATTTACCAACAAAGGACTTGGTACTGAGTTTAAATCTTCTAAACAGCTGAGATTTGTATGGCTCAGAAGACTTATGGTGTGCTCTTATAGATATTATAAAGGATTTATCATTTTGATGATAAAAAACAGCTCTCTGTGAAAAACAGTTTTCTGACTTGTTAAGATCCCTGTGTACTCTTTTTTTTTAAAAAAAACTTATGACAGTTTTCTTTTGGAGAGGGGGAGAGAAAGAGGGGGAAGAGAAAGAGACAAAGAGAAAGAGCAATTCTTTGTTTCTGAAAAACAAAAACCTTTTAGATAGGGGCCCAACCACATTCTCATCCTTCCCCTCTCTTGCGTAGTGTACTCATTGCACACAGCATGATGGCTTGGTGACCCCAGTAAATGGAGACAAGAGAAAATAATCAGCTTTCTTGGTGGACTATTCATGATGGGACCTTGGCTTTCATCCTTCCAAGAGTCTTTGGACAGAGACACTCTTATTAAAATGAAAGTGACATTGTTTTGATGGTCCTAGCAGGCATTTCATGTAGCATGACATCCTTGGTGTTAATTTGCAGGCCTCTAGCAAGAACCGGGAATGAAGCATCCTTCACAGTGTCCAAAATTCTGCAGTTCAGAATGTAGTGAGATGATCCAGACAAACAAGCTGCTTAGAGCCTGCTCTTCTGAATATGATTGTGGGCTTTTCCACACTACTGCCTTAAGCTGCTTCATTCCCAAGCATGATTGGAAACTAAGCTGGCTTAAGACACTTTCTTCTGCCTTTTATTTCTTCTTCTGATTTGGCCATGTTGAACTCCTAATCTTCTATTCAGATTTACCATGACTTCTGTCTTGGGGATTCTTTTGCTTATCTACCCCCCCCCACGCCAGGAAATCTGGCTCCATTTTTTTCCTTTTTCATGAACAACACTTTGAGATCATGTGGTTTCTATGGACAGATGTTTGTATGCACCTTCTCCATTGTCTCCTGCCTGCCGTATTTATTACCTTTCCCTATAGTCCACTTACTGATGGATGGGTAAAAATAACAACACAGCTCCCCATTTTCCAATGATATGTGCTTTCTGTGAAATGGGCTAAAAGGGGAAATGTATTGATTGATTTGTATTTTAACAAAATAACAGAATTGGAAGGGACCTCAGAGGTCTTCTAGTCTAACCCCCTGCTCAAGCAGAAGACCCTGTACCATTTCAGATAAATGGCTATCCAAACTCTTCTTAAAAACCTGCAGTGATGAAGCACCTACAACCTCTGATTAACTGGAATGGTTACTTCTAACTGGAATGGTTAGGAAATTTCTCCTTGGTTCTACATTGGTTCTCTCCTTAATTAGTTTCCATCCTGTGCTTCTTGTCCTGTCTTCAGATGCTCTGGAGAATAGGTTGACCCCCTCTTCTTTGTGTTAGCCCCTCAGATTTATTTATTTATGAGACTTATATACTGCTTTAAGTGCAAGCACTCTCTAAGGGGTGTACACCAGTAAGCAATGTATATATATATATATTTACATTGCCCCCAACAATCTGGGTCCTCATTTTACCTACCTCGGAAGGATGGAAGGCTGAGTCAACCTTGAGCCGGTGAGATATGAACCACTGACCTGCTGAACACAGTCAGCTAAAGTGGCCTGCAGTACTGCACTCTAACTGATATTGGAACACTGCCATCGTAACACTCCTAGTCCTTCCTTAAATAGTTCCGTTCTTGGAAGAACTTTGGTGGATTTCACTTGATTAAAAGAGAAAGAGTGGGTGGTGCTGGTGCCCACCCTATACTGTTCCTCAATGATTTTTTTAAAAAAAGCAGTGGTGAAAGGCAGTAGCCAACATTCCTACCACAGTGTATGGTATCCAATTTGCCTACATGAAAAGATCACAGCAGGACACCTGCCGTATGCGCTGCCAGAAGTCCAAAAAACACTGCTTTTGACACGCAGCAGAAAAAGATGGTCAGAGGTTGTCTTCCCAGTGGGTGGAGGGCCAGCAGAGAACACAATGTGCATTCCTGCCATCAAGAAAAGGTCTCTGGCCCGAACTCCCACCAGGACAGCCTCACTGTGCAGATCAACCTTGTGATTGGCAGCTTCTGTTCAGAGATTACAGCTCCATCTCTTTTGCAAAATGTATCAAATGTGGCTGCTTTGTGACAGCTGAATTCATACCAGGGGAGAGTATTTTCTAATACTTTTACTGAGGCTTAGAGTTTAGGTCCTGGAATAGAGCTGAAGAAGCTTCTTGGATGAGAAGCAAAAAGTCTTCAAAGAAAAACAAGAAAGTCCAGTTGCCTTGTGAAAAGCACCTTTGGGATAACTATGACCTGGATGACTGAGAAACTCCATAGACCTCAAAAGGTTTAGCCTTTCTTCTGTTAATTGTATGACTGTGCAAAAGGATGATCAGGAACTAAAACATCAGAGGAAGTACTATAATGTAAATAAACCAGTCATTTGTTGTGCTGGTTGTGGTGAAGAAAGATATTTTTTAAAAAATTGTATATCTGAAAAAAAGGAGAAGCAATAACACCAGGAGTCAAAGCTGTGGAGCAATGCTTTTAATGCAAATGAATAAAACATGATTTCTTTTTCTTCTATTTGTTGCAAATTTATTGGGATTGTCGTTCTGGTTGTGTTTTGTTTTTCCTTTTCAGATGGGGAAGGAAAGAAGACCAAGAATTAAGCAAGCAGAAAACTTGTTTCATTTTGATATAACCAAATCAAATCTGAGAGGTTTTTTTAAGGAAGTAGAGAATGAAAATTATATTTGTTTTGGGGTTTTTTGGAGTGGGATGAGTGAAGCTAAAATAAATAATGACACAAGGAATTAGAGGCAACATTATAATGGAAATAAACCTACAGCATTCTAGCTTTTGGGCTGAAAAAAAATCAGATGTTGAAAGGTGGCAGAAAAGAGATACTGAAAACTCCAACTCCTTGCTGACATCTAGTGATCCTCTGGAGTTTTCAGCTGAGGTCTCTTATCTCTAAATCTTATATTTTGGTAGCAAGATGTGAAAAAAGTTTTAATGACATTTAATTTGGGATTTCAGAGAAGGAGGAGCCAAGGCCAAGCCACAGATAAAAATTAGTTCAGGAAGATAAATTATAAGAGATTTGGACATAAACAAACTGTTCTTCTGAATTTAATAGTCTATAGGATTTGAATTATGCCCTATGTAAAGAAACAGCCCAGAACATCAAATTTACCAGAATGGCACATATTGTCAACTGCCCCATTACTTCCCTATAATTATTGCTGAGGCAGAATGAAGCAGCTGTCCCAGGTTTGGGTCTGAGGAAAGAGTAGCTATTTCATATACTGATGTGTGGAATTTACCCCTGGGATGTAGGGAGAGACAAGGCTTCCCTGGAGTTGCCAGATGCTTTATCTAGCCTTCAACAATTTGTTGTTTGTTTTGGGAGAACAAAATACCCTCTGAGTGAGGAGATAAACTCAAGGTAAATTGAATCACTCCTTGTACAGAAGAAAAGCCGCTACAAGTAGTCCTCTAGTTATGACCACAGTTGAGCCCAAAATTTCTGTTGCTAAATGAGATAGTTAAGTGAATTTTGCCCCATTTTGTGGAGGCTAAAACATATAAGGAAAGGTTGATGGAATTGGGTATGTCTAGTTTAATGAAGAGAAGGATGAGGGGGTACATGATAGCAGTGTTCAGGGGCTGCCTGAAGAGGGGGTCCAAAGGACAAGAAGCAATGGATGGAAACTAGCCAAAGAGAGAGGCAACCTAGAACTAAGGAGAAACTTCCTGATAGTTAGAACAATTAACCAGTGGAACAACCTGCCTCCAGAAGTTGTGAATGCTCCAACACTGGAAGTCTTTAAGAAGAGGCTGGACAGCCATTTGTCTGAAATGGTATAGGATTATCTGCCTGAGCAGGGGGTTGGACTTGATGACCTCCAAGGTCCCTTCCAACTTTATTATTATTATTATTATTATTATTATTATTATTATTATTATTATTATTATTATTATTATTATCTTTCTTACTACAGTTGTTAAATGAATCACTTAAGTTAGTAAGACGGTTGCTAAGTGAATCTGGCTTCCCCATTGACTTTGTTTGTCAGAAGGTCACAAAAGTTGATCACATGACCCGGGACACTGCAAACCACCATAAATATGAATTAAGTTGCCAAGTATCTGAATTTTGATTACGTGACCATGGGGATGCTGCAACAGTCATAAGTGTGAAAAATGGTTATAAGTCACTTTTTTCAGTGATGTAACTACAGTCACTAAATGAACTGTCATAAGTTGAGGGCTACCTGTAGTTTCACAGAATATTTTTATAACATTCTGATTTTGGCATATAAGAATCAAATGCAATGCGAGAGGCTTCTCCTAATTTACAAAACCTTAGCAAGTGGTAGTGTCTGGCTGTCTTTGAGATTAGAAGCTATGTAGGTACAGGCCTGGCTAGGACTTTGATGGGAGCCCTCCTATCTACTTTGGTATTTTGGCCAAAAAAAGGTGCATTGACGTATTGATGAAATACCCTGGAGTAGAATTCATCTTGAAGCAGTGGTTCTCAACCTTTTTAATGCCGCGACCCCCAACCGGTCATAAGTCGAGGACTACTCAACTGGTTGTAAGTCGAGGACTACTCAACTGGTGCAGCACT